GTTATACCTTAGTTACTGGACTGTTCTTATCTCAACCCATGGGAATTACATTCTTTCAATTCTCCTCCCCATCCCTCTGGGAGCTGGGGGAGGAAGGTGGGGAAGTGAGCCAGCAGCTGTGTGGTTCTGGGTTGCTGGCTGGGCTGAAACCACAACAATCTCATTTGCAGTTTGCATCAGATGCAAAGAAAAGAATTATCAGCATCTCTAGAAAGAGAAAGGTTCTGTCCTTTTTTTTTTTTTTCCTTTTTTTTTTTTCTGTTCTCCTCCCCAGATCCTATTAAAGACAGTGTCAAATGTTCTCTGTTTCCCTGTCCCGGCACTTGCCTCCCTGGTACTCCCACCAAAGTGGAGGTGGCAGGGAGATAATCCAGTTGTCATTTACTGATTACTGCCACAGTGGTTATAAAACCTGAGCACACTCTGGGCTCTGCTTCTGGAAGTCATTCAGCAACGTATCCCTTGCCTGACCTCTTGAGTGTTATTAGCTTGGATCATCTTTTATGCTGTATATACCTTAGCAGACAAATTATGTTTGGTTTGAATATGAACACAGCATAGGCTCCATAAATGCTTGTTCACACTGCTCTTTACACTGAAAGTATTGAAGCACTGAAACCTACCTCCAAACGAAAACAATGTCCTCCAAGGAAGCTTACTCCAGCTGGCTGGTGATGGTGTGTTACACTCTTGTGATTACCAATAAGCCACACAGTCTTTTTCTCCAGAAAGTGCACTTTGTTATACTGAAATTTTAGAAGTCCTCCGTCCCTGAAGGAAGTGCTCGGGAGCTGGGATGTGGGAATCTGGACGTCCACATCACACCTGCTTTGCCCTGGAGATGGGCTCAGTCACAGGAGTCTCCCACTGCCCTGCTCCCTCCCATATGACTGACCTAGCGGGAACCCCTGTGGCACTAAAAGTGCATATCTGAACCCTACACAACTACTTGCTGCTTCAGGAAGGTGCTGAATTGCCCCTGACTAACCACAAAATTCTAGCACAGTTACGCTGTCTAAATAGATTCAGCTGCATGGCAGAAATACGTTGTAAGTCTGTTACAACACACACGATCATACCTTCTATACTGCACTGGCATTTGAAGGGACATTGCCAGCACAACTTAGCAACCTAACCAGCTGCATTTCAGCTGTATAAAGAGCCACTTGATGGAATGGAGCTATCATAGAGCATAACTGAGAGTTCCAGGGATACATTAATACAAACACCTTACAGGAAAGAGCACTCCTCTCCCCTCATGATCACTGCTGGCGCACAGGCCATGAAGCAGAAGGCAGGTGACATTTATAAGCCTTTCTTTAGGATGGATCACTTCATGTTCAGATTCATTGAACAAACTGCAGGTAATCTGATCCTTATTGGTGCAGAGGACTTGTCTCACGCAGTGGAAGTGACAGACCTTAGGTTTGGATTTCCAGATTTCCAGCAACTGAGTTGTTTTGGGTTTTTTTTGTTGTTGTTGTTTTTTTTCTTTTGAGGCAGTTGGTGGCACTAAGGGAAGAGACAAGATATCACCTGTGTGTGTGGCCAAGCAATGAGCATACAGGCAAGCGTCCTTATGTGAATAAAAATACATGGTCTTCCTAGACCTTTATTATAGTAACCTTGGCTGGGTATTTTTGCCACTGTTAAATCCCCCAGTTAAATTCTTACATCTCACTAATGCTGACTGAATAAAAAATCCTAAAGAATTCAGGTGATCACTACCGAGGAAAGGGGCAGAATTTGCTAGGTCATTTGAAGGATAGGTGTGGAATTAAAAGAAGGTCAAGTATCTCTTTGAGAACTGCACATTCAAGTTAGATAAAATACAGTATTTGCCAGTCTGTGAGTCCTGTTCTGTGAGCTCTCACACCTGCTTTGTATCTCCACAGTGCTCCCTCACTTCCCATGCACAGACCACCTGTGCTCATCACACTTGTCCAAACTTGTGCTATGGAAGGATCATACGTAGTAGAGACTTGTGTCTTGATTTTATTAACAAAAAATCAACAAAATTAACAAAAAATAGCTAGTGCTATTACAGTGGTCAGCTCAGCTTCTCTCTCCTTGATGGCTTCATCCTCTCTAAAACATCCTTTTCCTTTGAGGTCAAATGCAAACATCACTATAGAAGCAGAACAACCAGAGAGTCTGTATATGCCAGAACACGTTTTCTGGATGTACCAATACATGTTCACAGTGAAGGTAATTAGTAGAGTGCATCTATGCAGTTTCTCCCTACTCCATACCTATCAGCAGTTCTGCTAATTATAATGTAACTGATGCTAAATAAAAGAGTTGCAGTTGTCATCCTGCATTTATTCAGTCCGTTTAAGGTTAGACTGTCCCAGAAGGCCCATTGCTTCCTTTGTGGTGCTAGCTAACTCTTGAAATGATTACAGACAATTGCTGGAGGAGCAGCAGATAATGAATCTGCAATCTGCTCTCATTCAGCCATATTGTTGCTATAGGGAAGAGAATTAGCTGAGGATTACCATATCCATTCAGGTACTGCCAACTCTGGGACTATTTCTGCCCTTATTCTCCACACCCGCACTTTTATGAGCATCTTCCATTGCATTGAAGTTTATTCCTTGCAGAAAGTGTATTTAGCAGGACTTTTAAAGAACTAAAGAAAAATATCAATTAGCAGAATAAAGAAACACAAGGTTTTGAATTATTTATGACTCCTATATCGCTATATAGAGATATTATATAAGCATATTTATTTAATTTTGAACTATAGTCTATATAACTACAATGGTTAATTTTATAGAAAATCTTAGCCTTATTGGTATAGTTTAAGGTAATGCATTTGTCATGATGTCATCTTATTGGTGACTCTATTATCTTAATAAAGCAGTTTATTTTTCTGTTCTCAAATACCTAGTTGGACGATTTCTCCAATAGTGGCAGTTTCCCAACATCAAAAGCAATCTACATAATCTCTTGGAAAGTGCCAAAACAAGTCCAGGTGATTTTCACAGGGTGCATGGCAGCTTGTACTAAGATAAAAGACTTTATGTGTGGTGATGGTAATCGTTTGGGCATACCTGAAAAGTTTGCTCTGTGGATAAGACCTTGCCCTGCATTACAATTACTTTCTCTATTGTCCTTTCATAAAATTTACCAAAACCTGTTGTGCCTCAGAAGTCATCATTGCCACCTACCCCTGCATCCTTGTTGATTTCCTCCAGGCACCTGGCAGTGGGATTAGTGAAAACAGAGCTGTCTAGGGCACTGTCACCTGGTGACCAGTTCCTGGGAACAGTTCAAGTCTTCAGGAGCTAGGAATGTATGGGGACCACAAGAGTGAAGACATATAAAATGGATGAAAGGATGTGAATTCATTGGAGTAAAACATGCTGGGTATCAGCAAAGGTGTTCTGCCCAGGAGCTCTGTGACAATATGGAACAGACCCAGAAGTAAAGACCTGAGTGCTGCTGGAGTGGCTGGAGAAGGGCAAGATTGGAGTGGATGGCACAAACATGTCTGTGCCCATCCCATGTGCAAATGAGACCCAGAACATTTTGGGACTTCTCTTTAAACACAAGGCAGTGCCACTGGACTGCAGGACTACTATAAATGAAGCCCATGCATCAGTTCAGCAGTATTGTAGGTTTTTGCTACTCTATGAGTCTTTAATAATGCCATTCACAATGATTATTGCTCTTATATACAGAGAAGTTCTTCCCAAATTATAATGTGCTCTTACATTAACAAAATGCAATCATTTACCAGAGAGAGAGATAAGGAGGGGGTGACTTAATTTCACATCTGGTGTGGCAAACAATTACACACTGCAGAAAGGCTGTGTAAGGAGAAAGACTGGCTAAATTATTAATAAGCATCCTGAGCTGCTCCTGTGTCTGCCTTGTTTTTGCTTTCACTTGTGCTGAGGCCCCTTTGCTGTTGTGGCCATGCAGGCTTTTGGAAGTGCTGTCATGCTGCCCATACTGAAAACCTGCAGCCAGGAATAACGACCAAGAGATGCAATGGTGAGGAGCAGTGGTGCTCCCCAGCCCTCCACCGGGCCACACCAAATGCACTTGCCAGCCTGTGAGAGCTCCTCACTCTGCAGGAGGGAAGCACTGGTGCCATGAAACAAAGGCTGCAGGCTGCACCTACAGGGGAGACACAGAGCCCTGTCTGCAGCTTGGGGTGAATACACATACTTAGGGAGCTCCCTCCCCTCTCTCCTTCCTCCTTCTCCCTCTCTCCTTCTCCCTTTCTCCTTTCCCTTTCCTTCTTTCCTCTCCACTCCTCTTCTTTCCCTCTCCCCTCCTCTTCTTTCCCTCTCCCTCTCCCTTTCCCTTTTTCTTTCCTTTTCCCTTTCATTTCCAAAAGCAAATGAGAGTCTGCTCAGTGGCCCTGGGAGTCTCTGTCTTCATTGCCTTCCCACTTACCTTAACCCATTTTTGCCCAGCCTCCTGTCTCTCTAGCACTGGCTTTGAAGCTTTGTTATTTGTTCAAATCTGGGGTCCCCAAGAGGGAGATTACATGAGGCAGAGATGCGAAAGCAAATTAATAATGTTTCAAAGGAAATGAGAACTAAAGAAATCATATTGTTTGTAACCGATTGTTACAGTATCTGTATTTCATTTTTAATGAGCACTGAGACATTAGTATGATTTTATTACATCCATTTTGAGGGGCTGACTAGGGAGAAACAAAGCAGTTCTTTGGGCTTTTTTTCCTGACTAAGCCAGAATATTAATCCTTTAGAGAAGCTTGAACAAGTTCAGTTAAATTCCCACCACCACTGCTCCTTTCAGATCCTTCTACCTGCCTAATGGTTGCTGTTGAACCTGGTAGCAAAAAAAAAACCAACAACTAAGCTTGAGAAATCTTGCTATCTATCTATGCCTAGCAGTTCTGCAGGGATTCCCTGCCCCCTGACTGGTTACCTCTGGGCAGTTGTGCATTTCTTATTTCTGAGCAACAGCAAGTGTCTGGGAATAACACCAGTGAACCAGTTTGTTCTTTGTCTCTGCAGTGCCTACACTGAGCCCTACAAGGTGTGCCCACTCTCTGTCATATCGATGGAGGTCGTCACATCAGATGAGGAACAGAAGAGTTCAGAAGATGAGGAGAGCAGCCCTGGTGATCCCAGCCTCATCAACAAGGTAAAAGAGCAGAAAATGGGGAATGCATGAAACCTGGAGAGGGAGAAACATTCTGCAGAAGAACCTGGATTCTCAGGTCTCTCTGCTCTTCGCCTGGTGCTTATTTAGAAATGTCAGAGCCATCAGATCTTTGTGGCCACCATACTCCCCAGTGCTCTAGCAGCAATTTAGCCCTACAGCATGTGGTAAAGCCAAAGAACTGCAGACCTAAGATGGACAATGGAGGCAATGTAGCCAGCAGGGAAGACCTGACTTGAATGTCAGGAAAACATCTCACTTGGAGTTAGCTGCAATCTTGAGAATTTTAAAACTACGTTGAATGAAATAATGACAAATACATTAAAGGGACCAGTTCTGCATTGGCTAAAAAACTGAATAAATAATTTAATAGGTCTCAGCCATCTCAAAATTCCTCATCATGGGAATATGCACTCATGTTTGGGTTTATTTTACTGACTTCTGACGAGTAAAACACCTCTTAAACAAATAATGCAGAAAAACACAGAAATACGATGACAGCCTAAGACCAAACAAGGCTATTTTAACCTTCAGTAAGCAGATTAACAATTAAGTTATTAAAGAAATGGCATGAAGTAGTTTTAGGCACAAGTTTATCTTTGTTTTCCAGAGATTTTGTGTACATGTTCGTAAAACCTAGTATGAGCCTAACAATCTGTGTCTCTGAGTACAAGCATCCAGTGCATAGCCTGTTTGGTATGCATGATACAGATGAGTATGTTCTTCTGAAGTCTTCCAATTTCATCCCCAGGAATGAAGGTTGCAAAGGAAAATAGCAAATGCTGATTTCCTACACATCTCTCTGGCATTCATTTTGGCCTGGTCTCTCAGTGTCAGTACAGCACAGCTATAGCTTCCTGATCATAGATGGCTTGTGTCTGATCACAGACGTGTCAGAGCCTTCAAAAGTCTGTGCAGATAGCCCTCCAAAACCAAACTTAGTGGCTACATAAGAGTCAACTCTGTCAAGGAGGAGTGTAAGTATATTGCTTCTAGACAGATTGGATCTCTTCAGCATTTCCAGAATGTGAAGCTTTATTTAGGGGCAGGTGTAGAGAGAGTGAAGTAGAAGCTTCTCTCATCTGAGGGAGAATAGTTTCCTTTGATTTCCCTGTATGTCATGTCACTTTTAGGTCTACCCTGCAGGGTGCTGAGCTGCCTCTGGTACCAGTGGAAAAGACTGTGGTTTGATCTCCTTGCTGACATGAAACAAATGAAACAGTCACAAGCATTTCTTTTTTTTTCCTCTAAGAGTCATAATTTTTTTGGTTGTTTGTATTCACACTGGTTTTGAAAGATAAAAGTCTTTAAATTTCTGATATTCCCTGTTAATTTTTTTTTTTTCCAGTTCTATTAGCTGACAAACTATTAGCATTTATAGAGCATACACCTGTGTGTTATCCAAGCTGGTCATGTTTCTTAGCATCTCTTACTTGTGATGCCAGTGGAAAAGTGACAACAAAATTGTGACTTGAGTTCAGAAGGGAAATGCGCGCAATCACTATGCACTTGGAAGTAAATTCAATTGCTAAAACCAATTTTAGTGCCTTTTTTGTAGGGTTTTACTCACACCACTAGGAAATGATGGTTTTCGAAATGTCTCCCTTATTGCATCTCATGCATTTTAATTGTTCTGTTGTGCTGGGGTAACCATGCGGTGCAGCTATGCTGCAGAAGGCAGCAGCACTTTGACAAGGATGTGCTTCAGAGTCTAGCTGGAGGTATCCCTCCCACTCTTCAGACAAACACAGACTAAATGTCTGTACATGCCTGATAGAGAATCAGACAGGTCTGGTAGGTTGGTTGGGTTTTGCTTCCCGAGATAACTGTCAGCAAGGATCACAGTACACAGGACCAGACTTCCACAAGCTCCTGGGGAGCTGTCTTAAAACATGAGTGTAGGCTGTATTTTCAAGATGGCTGATGAATTAGTGTATGTGGCTATTTACCCTGCTGAGAGGCAGGCCAGAAAGTAGACATTATCTGACCTGCCTATTATAAATTCTGGCTGTAGGAAGATTAGCTACTCTGCAATCTACTGCGCTCTAGCTACAGACTAGAAAGATGTTGGAGGAGCAATAATTTCAGCCCTGGATGACAGGCTGAGAGAGCTGGGCTTGTTCAGCCTGGAGAAAAGAAGGCTCCAGGGAGACCTTAGAGCAGCTCCCAGCGCCTAAGAGGGCTACAAGAAACCTGGAGAGGGCTTTGGACAAGGGCCTGCAAGGACAGGCCAAGGGGAATGGCTTTAACCTGCCAGAGGGGAGACTGAGATGAGCTCTTAGGCAGAAGTTCTTTCCTGTGAGGGTGCTCAGGTGCTGGCACAGGGTGCTCAGAGAAGCTGTGGCTGCCCCATCCCTGGCAGTGTTCAAGGCCAAGTTGGACACAGGGGCTTGGAGCAAGCTGCTCTAGTGGAAGGTGTCCCTGCCTGTGGCAGGGGTTGGAACTGGAGGAGTTTTAAGTTCCCTTCCAATACAAACCAGTCTGGGATTCTATGATTCTATGCATAAGCCATTTGCTTAGTCAGTAAGCCAAGTCAGGGATCTGTACTTGTATGTGGAACCAAGAAGAGACCTAGAGATGAGAAGCGGCACTGAGACACTTTTGTGCATCTTTGTTCTTGTAGCTTCACTAGGATAAGCATCACTTTGGACAGACAAAGGGGGAAAACATTCAGTGCAGGGCTCTGACGGGAAGGATGCAACAGATGTAACTTTTGTCTTTCACTCATGCCAACCACAGGACAGTAACACAGGAATCTTCCAAGGTGCCATGCAGCCCACAACGGTTTTCCTACGCTACTGCTCCTGCCTTCTTTTATAGTCTTATGCAAATCTTCTGGGTTCCAAGGGAACATCAGCTGCCCTGTCAAAACCTGTCTCTAAAATAACAAAGCACAAATAAATTGTCCAGTTTCCTGATGAAGTGATGTATCCCTTGCAGCAAAATCCTCAGGACAACACAGAATGGCCATACAACATGGAAGAGTTCAGAAGCACTGTCACTTGGGGAGAACTGAAAGGCATGTTGGTCTGGATGCCAAAAATAGTACCATGGATTTTGAAATGAGCTAATCTTGTTAAAACAACTGTTGGAGACTGGCCTACTAAGAGCTGAATTTGGATTTTATCAAGAGACAAACATCCACAAAAAAACCCAGAACCTTCTGGGGGTTTATGGGTTTGATTTCTAATTTAAACAATAGAAACTTAGTTTCCATTTAGTTTAGTTTAAATAATGGAAACTTAGTTCAAATAATGGCATGAAACAGCCTAGATGATAAAATCTCCTCCCTGTGTTCAGATATATGATTTTCATTTGCATTGGGCTGGATTCTACCTGCTGCCTTTTGCTGTCATCAATGAATTCCATGTACCCCATGAACTCCAGCATGCTTTGTTTTTTTCTCAGCTGCTTTCTTCTAGCCTGCTTGCTGGAGAATCACAAGGCTTGCAGCTTGCAGCAGAAATCCCCTGTTTCTTTTTAAGGCTCATTTTAATATGTAAATATAATTTAAAAAATAGCTTTGTACACATATTTCCTGTTATTGTTTCAACAGCTCGTCAACTTTGAATCCCTGCCCCATGGGGACCAGATTCATATGAGTGTGGAGAGATTGTCAGGGCCTGCTGGAACCTCTGTTCTGTGAACAATTCAAGTCATAGTCAATAATATATGCTGAGGTGTTTTTTACATTATAGGCATTATTTTAAAGATCAGACAAAGAAAGGCTTTCATCTCTACTGTGTCACAGGAATTTTTATTACTAAAAACCTATTTGGAATGGAGCAGGTATAAAAATTTAAAACAGGAGGTGGGTTTTGCATTTCTGCCCTTATTCCACTGGGAGTGCCTCAGCCTACGGAGAAGCTGGGCATTTGTCATCAGAAGTCACCTGCTGCTTTTGGTTCTCCTGTATAAGACTAACAGTGAAAATTCTTTCTTTCTGGTTAAATAAGCACTTCATTTCCTTCTCTTCAGCCTGCTGACATATGATAACAGCCCAGAGAACTCCGATGCAGGGAATGCTGTAGGTTTTCTTAACCGCTGTGATTCTACTTGGCTATACTATAAAAAACAATGTTTTTTACACTGCTGATGGAGATTCACTCTTTTTTTAACTCCTGCTAAGCTAATTTAGAAGAGCTCCTGAGCCATTTCTCATTCACGTGTCTTTTATATATGTTCATTTAATTAAATCCTTTCCAGCTGAACAGAAGGTGACCCATGGCTTTTCTGTACTGGGCCCTCAAGGTTATCTGATGGCATTTGAGCTGCATGCAGAGAGGTAAACAAACAAAAAAAAACCCAAAACAAACAAAAAAAAAACAAACAAAAAACCCAACAAAACAAAACACCAAAACCAAAACAACCAAAAAAAAGAATTAGGGATTCCAGTTAGAAACAGAAACCTTGTCTCAAATAAACCAAGGACTTTATCTCTAAGCTCTCAGCCTTCACTCACTAGACAAATGCTCAAAGTCCAGGATGTAGAGCCCCAGATTCTTCCTTTCATCTTTGAGCTGGATTCAAACCTGAACTCTGTGATTGTTTTTTACTACTAAACCAGATAAATCCATCTTGGACTCACCCAGCTAATGAGCATTAAAGGAATTAAAGGGGAAATGAGCTTAATAGCTCAGATTTGACTAGACACCAACTTCAAAGTGAGTTCCCTTTGGCAGAACTTAGTTTTTGTAGCAGAATTTCCAGTTTTAAAAGGAAGATCAGAAGTAGACAATATAAAGTCTACTTTTGAGAAGCTCATCTCCATGGTTTGAAATGGACTAAATTCAACACATGCTGGTAGGTTTCACCTATTGCTGGTTACGATCTGAGTTTTTGAATTGCCCCAGTAGTTTGAGGAAGATGCTGCATATGCTGGATCATCAGCTACCCTCCATAGCTTGTGCCTCTCACTTTCTTGTCAAAATCTTCAAGCAAGAGTCTTCAGACAGTTCTTTTCTTGTAGACACTTTTTAGGA